ATTTATTTTTTCTTTCATTTATTTGTGCAGTACTAAGTATTTATGTAACAGGGATGGTATTTTCATTGTCTGTAAGTCATATCATCCCATGCATTGAATCAATGCCATATATTTCTGCAAGCTGAAGGCAGATCCCACAAGGTCAGAGATCTACTAGTGTCAGCTAGTCTCCCCAAAACAGGAGTCCTCAAGCCAGGACTTGTTCAGTGAAAAGAGACTCTTTCAAGCTGCAAACATGCCCATTACATGTTGAGGAATACTCTGGAGTCCAGAGCCTAAGTCATAGGCAGAGAAGAATCTTGCTATGGCAGAAAGAAAGTTTCTACCAGACAGGAAGAGGAAGTAGAGTACCTTTGGCAGGAGAGATAGGGAGGGAGATGAGATTCGCTTTTTACCTCAGGCTTGAAATCCCAAGTGCAGATGAACTAAGGAGGAAACTGAAGGCAAATAAGGCCTCTGGGTGGGCATGAGCTAGAGGAACAAAGGAGAAATGACCACATGACTGCAAATGCCTGCAGTGGCACTGAGGTTTTTGCAGCTCCGTGTTTCCTTTCTATCCACACCCTTCCTGGAGAACTGCTCTTATTTCCCAAATCTGTTCTGAATAACACCAGGGAGCGTACATCCCTCACTGTCTCACTTCAAGACCTTGTAGAAAACAGTCTACTTACTGTAGTCAATCTCCCTGTTCTGCCAGATTTTTCAAGAAGTCTACTCCCCAAACTTCTATTGGATTGGGCACAAGGTCACATTTCCATGACCCAACCTGGGGAAGCAGGTGCTTTTGCCTGAAAACCTGTGGACCTGGGAGACTCTAGGCAGGCTCTGCTAAGGATTTGATAGATCGTATCTAGAGGTAGTTTAAAGGGGCTGATAGTGTAACTTCAAGACAAGTTTGGGTAACTGATATTTGCTTGAGGTTATAGACCTAAATTTATATCCTTAATGAGGCTGAAGGTGATAAGATTCTGTTCATGTAAGGGCATATGGTACCCTAATTGCTCAGCACTATGCTGGAAATTGTATAGCCCTGAGTAAAGAGAAGCAGCAGGCTCAGTCAGATGGTCCCAGCACACAGCCTGACTGGTGCAGAACCTTTTAAGCCTAATGCACATATATGAACACAGATGGGTTTGGAAAGAGGAAGACTGATCTACACTAGGATACCCTTTGAATAAGATTTTGGATGTTACAACTTTTCACCTCTGTCAATCAGGATAACATTGCTGATCTTTAAAATACATATTCTGATTGTATTCTCTTTCTTCATTCTCCTAGAAAAGTAAAATTTGATATAACCAAATGGTGTTTGTGTCTGGTTTTCCCATCAAATCAAGCTTACAACTCATTAATACAGAAGTTGCACACCACTACACAGGAAGTGACGCAAACCTGGAACTGTTTTCCTATTATTCTCCTTGAAGTTCACGATGTAGGTCAGATCCACATTCACAATGGTGGGAAAGGTGCACCAACATGGCCAGACTAACAATCTCTTATCTCGGTATACAGAGGTAGGTGACATGGCAAGGGAGCCTCAGGTGCTCTGGCACCTCCAATGGCCCCACAGAGAGTTGCTCCTATCCCCACATCCCAGGGGACCTGCTCTGGGGAGTTTACACGGCTTCCCAAGCCTTTGACATCGTGGATAGCAAAGGGAGCGGTACTAGGTGACCTTTGAGTATGCAGGGAAGCCATCCAGAATCCCTGAGAGAGTAACGGATTTTTGAACTCACTGGCTTTGAAGACTCCATCTGCCACCTGCCTTGGCAAAGTCAGGGTGTATTGGATGCAGCCTGAGTAGGTTGCCAGATCTCTGCAGGTTTCAGGGTTCATTCCTAACCCGGTCCCTCAGTACCCAGCAGTGAAGAGCTTCTGCCAGGCCTTCACATTATATCCCAACTCCTCCTTTCATTACCTCTGCTTCTGTGTCATACACACATGCTCATGTGCACACACACACATGTGTGTCAAGAAACTGGGATTTAGTATTGTTTTTGATCCAAAGCAGAAATTTAAGAGTATAACAGCAACTTATCTTTACAGCAAAGGAAAAGAGGTAAAGTGACAGAACTAAAGTGCATCTATGTGCAAACCCTGAGTGACTGCCCCCCAGTCTGAATGATGGTTCATGGAGGGGGGCTCTCAGCCTTTCTCTTATTATCCCTGACAAATGTAAACATTAAGGATGCTATTTCCTTGTCTGGTACAGTTCCCAGAGGACACACAGCAGCCTGTCAGAATGAGGGACATGCATGATGATTATACCTGAGAAAGAATTGTTATGTGCCAGCCACAGTGCTGCACTTTATGTAAATTGTTTAATCCTCACAACCGCCCTTGAGAGACCAATGCTGATATGGCTACTTTACAGATAAGAAGACTAAAGTGGAAGGACAAACAACCAGCACACAGCAGCAGAGCAATGGGAATCTAGGTCCATCCAACCCCAATGTGTGTGTGTGTGTGTGTGTCCCAGTGCTCTGCCTGTAGCCTCCCCTGCCCAAACAGTGGCCAGCAAAGCACTGCCAACTTCCCAGGGCCGCTTTTCATCTCTTCTGGCACCATTGTCCCAATTCTGCCAGTTACATGTTTATTTCTAAAAGGAGAAGCATCGCTTCCCCTCTTGGGATGGATCTGGAGTCCAGGGCATTACTTCAGAGAGACAGAAAGCAACACCTCCCCACACCCGGTTTGCCCTATCAGGGCACAGGCAGTTCATTTCCTTAGCTCTGCTGTAACAACTGAGAAGTGACCATTGTGTTAGACAAAGTGATTCTAGCTGCTGTATAAATACCTCCCCAGTTTCCGTGGTTTAACCCTAAAAACATTTACTTCTCACTTACACAACTGGTGAACACAGATTTGCAAAAAGTGGTAAGCAAGATCTGCCAGGTGACCCAAGTCACACAGCACTTTCCTCTCAGCAGTGAAGGAAGCCTCCAAGGCCTGCTTCCTACTCCTCCTCTGAGTAACACCCACTGCTGCTAAGGAGGGCTGGGTATGCCACACCCCACTAAGGGTTACTCCCCTGCTCTGAGTGCTGAGGAAGAACTGCCTGTGCACAAATCAGGGCTCATCTCTTAGCCCCTCCACATCCCTCATCCTTACCCTTTCCCATTCCTGTCACACAGCTTCAATACTCCTGATTACAAGTAAGAATTAAAGTCAGCGATGAGTTCTAAGGTGCAGAAGTCTATTATGACTCTAACTGCCATTGCCAGTGGCAAGCCTGGACAATTTAATGAGCCCACAGATGACCTCCTTTGAGAATTCTACAAGGAGCTGAGGAAGTGAAGGGCAGCTCAGTCAGTGCCAGTTCCCCAGCTACTTCTCAAGTGCCTCATGGGTCCTGTGAGTCTCTCTTAGGGATTAATTTTGAGTCCAGGAGAAAGACTTAAGCTTTCATGGCCTGGGGACAGAGGTGTCTTTAGGGACCTGCAATTAGGGGGCCCTAGGCACTTCCTGAATACACTCAGAGGCCCTGATGCTTGGAGTTTGCCTCTTGGCCCATTTCAACAAAGTAAGTGTCCCTTTGTCCTCAGGCCTGGGTTGGGAGTCTTTCTGCCTCTCTCATGGTGGCCCCACGTTTACACTAACCAGACACCTGGCTATCAATGGCAGACACAGCAAAGGCTCTGGTCCTGCCCTCTCAGGATGGCTGTGCAGGGAATGGCTGCTGGCACCAGGAGAACTGAGGAACGTTCTCTGCCTGGAACTCAAAGTGCCCTCATAAATAACTGCTCTCTGCTTCCCGGCATTCCCACTCCCAGGCGTTCCATTCTTTTCATTTGCTCAGGGCAGAAAGGAAGAATGCTCACAGAAGTCTCCTCTGTGCCCCTGTAGCACTTTCCATGGATAATGTGTATGGTCTGCACTTTAACGATTAGCTTATGCACCATCTTCTGTCTCCCTTATCGGCTGTAAAGACTACAAAGGAAGAGTGGGCTTCTTCAGCTGTATTTTCTATATCTAAATGACATCTGATTCACAGGAATGTTAGTAAGTGTAAATTACTTTTGAGGGACTGACTGAGCAAAAAATGAGTCAATGAACAAAAATAAATGAGAGAAGAATGAATCAGAAGTGATGGGAACTGAGAGAATGAATGAGGATGAGAGGGGCAGAATGAAGGCCAGTTGCCTTCAGGTATCCTACCTTCTTTTCCTACTGAACAAAAGTAATACATTTTGCACCCTCCCCTGCAGCTAGACATGCCTAAAGCTCTGTGACTAAATTAAATATAAGTGTCAGATGGGCTCTCAAGTGTCCTTTGAAAAGGAATATGTGTTTCTTTGACTCATGCCCCTTTCCATCTTTTCATGGCCCGGAAAATATGTCATGGTTGGAGCTTAGCCACCATACTGCACAATAAAGTGACTTCAAGAAAAGAAATCACAATAGGACTAATGGGACAGCAAAGCAGAAAGACTGAAAACATCTAGGTCTCTGTCGATCCCGGAGTCACTATAACATGTTACACTGCTTCCTTCTGGACCTTTTGCATCTAAAAAAGAAATTTCCATTTTACATACTGCTATTTTGTAGTTTACTGTATTTCATTCTATGTAGTTGAACTGATACTAACCAACTTACACAGAATCACAGATTAGTGCAGGGACATTCCTCGATTCAAGACCTCCTCTCTCAGTCTCAAGAACAGGCTCAAGACAGTATGTGATAGCCTGAAATGCCACACTCACCCATGTTCTGCTGATGCCCTCCAAATGCCAATCTAAAGCCTCATGTGGAACTGGATAATCTTGATCTTTTAAAAAGACAATCAAAGTGATAGATGATCCCTGATCAATGTTCAAAACTTACTAGATTGGTGGGAGTACAGACTGAACCTCAGATTAAAGGCAGGTCCCAGGAAATGTAGCCAGGGAAACATTTCCATGGGGTAGATCCTGTTGCTCTGATACTTTCAGTGCTCTTGCATTTCAACACTAAAGCATTTACTCTTTGACAAGGTGGAACACATGGGGGTAGGGTCTTACCTCTACCAAGGAGTGCCAGTGTGCGATGGGCTTCCGAGGATATGACAGCATTTCACTCCAGTGGTCTCTGCCCAGCCTCTCAGCCTCGTTGCCTACTTGACACACACCGATGATCTCATTGTGACCTACACTGTGAAAATGCCCCACAATAGTTTTTTCTTAAAATTTTGGTTTGTAAAGGACAACAGCTATTCAATTAAACTGATGGAGCAAATGAGGAAGTGGTGTTTTTTTCATTCCCTAATTTAAAACTATAGGCCAAGATTTATAGCCAGTAGGACTTGGGATTTGATGTTACACCTGGCTTTCCTAACACTGACACAGGTTAGATTGTTCCCAATAACCCTATGTCCAAAGAACTCCCTGATATATGCCAAGGGTACTTCCTCTGGTTCTAGAACTGGGTTGGTCTCCAAATCTATGTAAATAAATAGGGAGCCATCTGAAAGGTTTTTCTTGTAATAATGGCCATCAAAATTTCCACAAGCAGTAACCAAAGATAAGTGATGGAGCAGCTCTGAGTCTGCAGTCATGGGCGTTGAGCTCACAAACAGGGTAGAATGGAGGAGGCTCCTAGGTCTCCTTGCTCACCATTCTGTTAGAGAATATCATCATCATCTTATATGCTTCCCTCTTTACATCTAAGCCCAGCTTTTACTCTTTGACCCACACTGATTTCCAAACTATGCAAATATCTTGGCTCTTTTAGCCTAAGGACTTTTTGTTAAAATCCTTTGCATAATTGGAAGGCAATCACCCATCCTTTAAGTCTTTGGAATCCAAACCCAAATATTTTCTTTTTGCAAAAATGAATAATTTTTCTACGATTTGTGTGTGAGTGGTAAAGAGGAGGCAAGCACAGGGCTGGTAGTGAGAAGGGTATCTGAGTCTATGCTATTTAAAATCAGATGCATGAAGAAGCTCCATGGATTCTGCTATGGATTTTTCCAGGCCAGATTCATGAGTTTAATTAAATTGAGGCAGAGATCACATAATCAGATTTGTCATTGCAAGAAACTTGGCAATAGCTGGAAAAGTGCTTCCATAGCTAGTGGGCAACATCCCCTTCTGGGGCCTGACACTACTTGTGTTGTGTGTTTCCCAGAGAAGTTGTGACAAGGGTTACTGCCCAGCATGTGTTATCACACCCAAGGGCAGCTGTGCTGGAAGGTGGTCATGCTTCACACAGGCATCTGCTGGAAAAAGTGTTTAGATCATTGAAGTGGCCTTGCTGACACTTAGAGGTATGTGGGAAAATTTTAGCTACAAGTCATATTTGTGAGATTATATTAGGAGTCAGAATGACTTTTTTCTTTTATGATTGTGCCCAGACCACGTGGGAGGTCCCTAATTAAAAAGAGACTTTGCATTTCAGTCTAATGACTGGTTTAACATGTATAATTCCCTGTTGGTACTTCCTTTGCATATTAAAATGACTGTTTTTTAAATCTGTCCTTTAAATACACAATTGGCTACAATGCAGGCTATAAATATCTCTTCTGTGCTGTATTAATTAAAAGTCTAGCATCTTATACATTTTAATGTACTCTGTCATCCATACTGATTCTAGCATTTTCAAGAGAACATTTCTGTGTTTGCTTTCAGACTTAAGTGGATGGAAATGATTTTTATTAAACACACTGCAAGGAGGAAAGGAGGAAAAAAAGATTGAAGTGATGTATTTAGAAGTGTTGATGGTCTGGCTAGAGTAATCATTCTGCTGTTTTCAGCAGAATCTTTTCCCTAAAGGTAGTCAGGATTGTCAGGCAGTAGGGAAGACCCCCGGGGCCACAGTTCTCCAAATCCAGATAGGAAGGAGATAAGGGAATGGGAAGAAGTAAGGGAGTAGCAAGGGCAGAGGAGGAGAAAGAGACAGAAAAGGGGAAAGAGACTAGAAGAACTGAGAGGCACTGTAGCAACTGAGTCTATAGCATGGTTTGGAAAACAGTGACTCCTTGTCAACCTGCCTTCCACACACTGCCCGTTCGTTCAGTCATTTCCTGTTTCCTCAGACACCATGCCAGAAGAATCCATGGCTCCTGCCCTCTCTGCCCTCCCTGCCCAGGGCACAGCAGACTTGCACTGAGACAGAGCCCCAGGTATCTCACCGGTCATAGTCCATGACTGCTATAGACAAGTGGATTTGGTCAATGTTCTCAGGAGGGACATCAAAGACTATGGCTTCATTGTAAACAGGATTCAGCGTGTTCCTCTTGGTGGATGTTTTCCTCTTCTTCAGTCGTCTGCTGTCACACATCAGGGAGACTTTCACGTAGGGATCTGTACAGGCAAGAGAAGCGGCGGCACTGTGACAATAAATGTAGACTGGGAGTTTGCAGATTTTAATTAATGTGGTGTCCAGGACAATGACTAGTTAGGATAATTAAGTCATTCATTCAAAAAAAAAGCACAGGACAGTATCTTCTGAAAATGTGTGAAATTTAAAAATAATGTGAAAACATCTGTTATGGAATTAGAAAACATCCCAGCTAGAATTCAAGACCTGCCTGGCTGTGACAGAAACAGAATTGCATAGATTATTTCCAAAGAGTGGGAAACCAGGCCTCAGGCCCCCAATTCTGAGCCATCCCAGGGAATGTTTTCCTAAAGATCTGGTGTTTACGGGAAAGAATGCCTAGAGTTCCTGAATTCCTAGAGGACAGGGAGATCAGCTGGGGTGGATTTCCTCAAGTACAGGGGGTCACAGAGCTGCGTGCGGCCATAGTACAGGTGCGAAGTGAAAAGCAGTTCATCCATCAGGGAGAGAAAGGACCCCAGCTGGCTTAGGTGTGACACTGTGATAGGGCGACAAGTGACAAGGCTGACCTCTGCTCCAGACAATGCTGTTCTGGTCCCCCAGCACCTCACTGTCCACCTGCTCAAGGGAGAGTTCTCCATCTCTCCTTACCTGACAGCCATACACTGCCCCGGCACATTACTCATTTCAGGAGGGATGTAGAGGCCAGAGGGGCAACATCTTCTTTTCTGCTTAGAAAAACTCAGAGTACAGGGCACATAATACCACACATGTTACGCCCTGTGATTTTAGTGACTGTGACCCAGTAGATACTGGGTGTTTGTGACTACACTGGGAGAGTCCCTGCCTAGGTTGCTAGTGAATTTATATCACAGGACCTGCAAGTTGAGACTTTTTTTGGTTAGGATTTAGAATTTTAAGTGGATATGCTTGATTCACTGGAAAAACCAAACAGTATAGTTTCCTGGTATAAAGAGAAGATTGTCTTTAATTTTTCAGAAGCCTGACAGGGTGATATCTGAGGAAAATGAACTGATTAAAGAAGCTGTATCAGCATGTACAAACTGTAGGTCCAATTCAGACTCATAAATGTACGGTGAGGGAGAAGCCACAAGAGAGAATAATAATGAAACCAACATTATTCAGCATCTAATATATACTAGATACTGCCTGTATGACCTTATATGAATTCCTCAAACTTATAACACCACTATGAGACATATACTAATATTACTCTCATCTTACAGATGGTAATATAAAGTCCAGAGTGGTTACATGACTTAAGCCAAGGTCACACAGCTCTTAGATGGAGGACTGGAATGATAGCTAAGCAGTGTGGTTCCACTGTCAGTGTGCTTTATTGCTATATTAGAAACTTCATGAAGTACTACATTAGAAACAGATGAGGAAGTCTGATTTTGAGACTGTCCCACCTGATGCTCCTGTTATGTCCATTGCCTTTAAATTCCTTGCTTTTATGATGGTAATGGTCAGCCTGCCAGCCGTGGGAAGATAGCAGAGGGAAAACATGAGCTCTCCAAGATCTACGTTGTCCTGTGGACAAAGCACAAACAGAAGCATTAGAAAGTGTCTCCAGCTGGGGTGTATGAGGCTCAGTCTCAGGGCAGTAATGACGGGAACCCCATAGCACCTCCTGCTCAGCTCCTGAACCCCTGGCATCTCCATCTTTCAGGTCAGACACAGGGAGATTGATTCATCCCTGCATTTCAGGAGTCCCCACCTAGGAAACAATAGCGCATCTTTAGATAGCAAAGTTGAGCCATGCACAGTTGTCCACTGGCTGGCGCAGGTCCCTGTAGCCCAGAACACAGCCTCTGGAGAGGAAATCTCACCTCTTCAATGGTCCTGCATGGAGCCCTATATCCCATCAGAGTTCATACAGAGCCTTCAGCCAAAGCTGTGCAAAGATGCCCCAAGGTGCTCCGCAGCCCCACCCTAGCCCAGGCATTCTGCATGTAGTCCCACATGCCCTTTGGTAGTATTTTAAATGGGACCCCATATACCCCTCCTGCTTCCTTACACAACCCCTCAAATTAGCCCGTTTCTCCGCACACTCCTGCATATCCCCCCACACCCCCAGTCCCCACTCTCACTCAGAACACTGCACACAACCTGTGCACACCAGCACATCTTCCCTGGACCCTGGAATCTTCTAGCCCCTCATATAGTGCCACACGAGCAGCAGTCTGTGACCCCACACATTACAGCTCTGGGGGTGCCTTGTACCTTCATGGTCCTGCATGGAAAAGCAGAGCTGTAGGGCCCCAGACACCCCTGTTGCCCATTCCTTGGGTCCCACTTGATACAGCTCTTCCCTTCTCTGTGTGTCTTTAAGTTACCCTCTTCCCCTCTGCTGCAGAAGATATCAACTTGGGCAGCATGCAGCCATTCAAATAGGTCAGAAAACGTGAGTCTCTTTCTCCCTTTTTTAGTCCAGAGAGAATGTAACCAGGGAGAGAGAGAGAGAAAAAAAAGCCAGTTTATCTAGTTTCAATTTCTGAAAGGTACCTGAGGGTACTGAGTTGGGTGCCTGGGTATAATTAATACAGTTTCATACTGACAGTACTCTGGGGAGTCAGGTTTTTGCCCTCAACATCCACAGGCTTCCTTTCCCTCCTGGATTCTCCAAGGATGTTTCTATTTTTAGAAGCACAGATTCAGCTCTGTAAGGTCACCTCACCCAATCTCTCCAGCTTGACTGCTTCCACGGCAGGATGAGGCAAAGGGATCTATTTGGTGGCTAAGGCAGATGGATGGATTGCTCTGTGTCTTCATTCATTGCTTGCCTTGTGCAAATAAATCACCTCATCTGCAAGCCAGGGTCCCCAGTTCCTGGAGCCCTGACCTCAAGAGGCCTGAGCCGCCAGACCTTTCCCTTTGCGGGGCGGGGGCGGGGGGTACCAGTCCTACAGGAACAAGAGTTTTACACATGGCAAGTCCTGGTTGCTTTGTGGTGCAGGTTCCCTACTGTGGGAGCAAGGTCTGCCCCCTCTGAAAAAGACTGGTCTTACCCAGCCTTCTGCAGGTGACAGAGGGGAAAGAGAAGTAATAGTGGTTGCCACAGGTCATCCCTCTGCTTCCTTGCTCCTTGGCCCATTCCTTTGCCCTTTGGCTTCTGTTCTTTTCTCAGGGGGCTTTCTATTGCACCTATTTTCTTCTCTCACCTCATCCTGTCCAGAAAATCTTGCTTTTATAGGTGCAACCAAAGTCATGTCTGTGAACATTCATAATCAAGTCTTTCAATATACGTTTCCTGAGGGCCTGCACTGTGCACACAGCTTATATATAAAGCTGGGGACATGAAAATTCACTCAGTTCAGTCCCTGCCCTCAAGGCTGATCCACATAATTAAATGTGATGTGTCAGATTTCTTCTGGACTAAGTACACTTCATTTTTTCCCAGCATAGACCCTATTCATAAATATTTATGTTATATGACTATTTGCTCATGAGTTAAAAGAAAATCAAATCTCAGACTTGATAGTGTATTCAGAATGTGAACTACAGTTAAAGCTCACATTTGTACTTTTAAAAGTAAAAATAGAAATTAAAGGGATTGTTATCAAAGATGAAATACTTGGCCTTTAAGTGCATTAAAAAAATCTAAAATTTTCCAAACTATAAAAATAAAATGACAATAAAATTCAATATAGAAAATTTCAAGTAAACTGGTAAAATATCCCCTTTTCTCAGGTCCATACCTACTATACCACTCCTTTCCCCAGAATAACACAGTGAATAATCATCCATTCATCCACCTATCTATCTGTACATCTATTTATTCTTTCACTTATTCTTTTAATATCTGTCATATTGTGAGTTCAGCACTGCTCTGTGCAGACTGGGAGCTGAATCTGCAGTGATGAACAATAGTCATAGGGGTAAGAACGTGTAGATCTTGATGTTTGTTAATATTCCCTTAAACCACTGATTTTCAATCGGGAGCAATTATGCTCCCCCAAGATACATTTGACTCTATCTAGAGAGAATTCTGATTGTCCAACTGAGGAGGTCAATGCCACAAAACATCCAACAATGCCAAAAGAAGCCTCTCACAACAAAGAGTTATCTGGTCCAAAATGTCAATGGTGCCAAGGTTGAGGAACTCTGATTTACAGAGAAGGGCTTATATTCTCAGTGAAAGATTTCCTGAAATGCTATTAAAAGTCAAATGTAAAGGGGTGGTGGAGTATCTGGCTTTGTCATCTTGACAGGAATCAGATACATAGAAGTGTCACTGGCAGCTGAGTGCCCAGGAGGATACAAGGGGAAGGAAAATGTCATACAGAGAAATGCTTCATTTGCTCCTGCTTTGTGTGGCCAAAGTTCAGTACTGTTAGCAAGATACATTGGGAGTTTTTGAGTAAGTATGTGTGAATTCTCTACCTGACAACCAGTACACTCTTACTGTGATGTTTGCCTGTAATGTGTGGCTTAACTAATGTACTTTTATATTCCTCTTCTTTCCTCCTTCAGGGGAATTCCTCCCCAAATCTACAAAGTTCTGGAAGGGATGCTGCAAGAATTTAGGGATCAAAATATTAATTCCTCTGTGCTTTCTTAGAACAAAGGATGAGGATATAACTCAAGCAGGATCATGTCAAGTTAACCCTGGGGTTGGAAAATCAATATAGGGAACAAAAACTTCTCATTTTGTTGGGCTTATTCATTGGAAGATATGATACTACAATGGTTGCGAAGTTAACCTATATAAGTTAAGGATGTATACTATATACCCAAAAGAAACACTACAATAATGCAATAGAGAGTTGTAGTTAGGAAGCCAACAAAAGAGATAAAATGGATGTTTTAAAATATCCCATTAATCCAAAAGAAGGCAAGAAAAAATAAGGCAGGGAGAAAGGAACAAAATCAAAGAGGAAAACGTGGTAGAAGTAGGAGACAATTTGTAAGAGGGTAAATTTAAACCAAACTATTTCAATAATGACACTAAATGTAAATGAGCTAAATATTTGCATTTTAAAGCTCCTGAAGCTTGGATATATAGTGCAATTAACTGAAGCTGAGTTCCAGTCTTGACTCTTCACTTAACCATTCTGCAATCTTAGATAAGCTATGCAACTTCTCAGTTCCTAATTCTGTTCTCAGTTTCCTCATTTGGAAAATAGAATTAATATCTAAAACACAAAGTTGACTTTAAAAAGGCTAACATATGTATGCAGTAAATATAATGTAGCTATTATTATTATTGCATTTGTCACTCTCACAAGTGTTAGGGTTCAGAAAATGATATCCCAAAGTATGGTGCTTTCACGTGCTAAGAACTTTGAACAAAGGACACAAGGCCCTCAGAAGCAGTCTCTTTCTGACTACCTCCTGCCATTTTTCGCCTATTACCCTTTCTCATTCAAAGTGGCCCAAAGAAACTAGAATTCCTTTTCCTCAAACTAGTTCTTAGAAACTAGGACTCCTCTTCCTCAAAGCCAGCCATAAAACCTGGTACTGTTACTCTAGCTTCCCCCCTGCCTTTCTGTTTTGGAACTGGCCTTAAAGAAATTCTCTGACCTATTTTATCTGATAGTAAGCCATTAAGATACGCTTTCCAAAAAGGGTCCTGCTTCATCTCCAGGAGGAAGGAATACTACACAAAGAGACCAAGAAGATCTGAACAAACGTGTGGTTGAGATCCCTTCCATCAATTTATGGAGACAGGTTATACCCAATCATATTTCTATACACTGTCCATTCTTCATCAAACATAAGCATAAAAATACTTTTCCCTGAGTCCTGTGTCTTCATTACTGAAGCATCACATGAGACTTGGGTAAAATAAATTCATTACACTTTTCTTTTATTGTTTGTCTTTGTCAGTTTTTATTTCAGACCTAGCCAGCAACCTTAGAAGGGTTGAAGAAATTTTTCTTCCCTATAATAGTCTGTGTACTCTTCAAGGTGAAAGCCCACTTATCCACCTCCAGTGGGCTGGCACGTAGGGGTGACTCAGTCAATATTTCCCTTTCCTTTCCTTTCTTCCCTCCTTCCCCTCCTTTCCCCCTCCCTCTCCCATCGCCCTTTCTCCTCCTCCTTCTCATCCTCCTCCTCCTCCTAATTTTGTGGTACTGGAAATTGAATCCAGGGCTCTGCACTGAGCTATATTCCCAGTTATCATTTAATTTAATTTTATATCTTATTTTGAGACAGTGTCTTGCTAAGTCACCAAGTATCCCAGGCTGGGCTTGAACTTGTGATCTTCCTGCTTCAACATGCAAGAGTGCTGGGATTACAGGCATATGCCACCATACCTGGCACTATGTCTTACACTAATGAAGTGATGAACAAACAAAGAAGAGGTGCAAGGATCCTTGGACATGTGTTGCACTCTTAGTAGCTTCCTAGGGCCTTTTGTTTAAATGTCCAGTGTGAGCCACCAGGCTATGAGACATCTGGTTCTCCCCTTTCTTCCTCCTCCATCCCACCCACCCTTTGCTACCATATCTTCCAGCATTACCAGCTCACTGAGAAATCTTATTCTACAGAACTTCTTTCAAAAGTAGAACAACAGCCTTGTAAGA